ATGTTGGTGGTGACCGGGCAGGTCCCCGCAACCCAGCTTCCTGCCAGGATCAGAGGACACTGTCCCTGCCGCCTCCTGCAGCCCCCAAAATTTCCCCAGGGAAATTTCCCTCATTCTTAGCTTCAACCAAAGGCCACTAAGCTGAAAGAAGTTGCAAGAAGCCAAAACTGGAACTGTCCAGAGAAAAATAAGACATCTGTACCCACTCTGCACATCTCTCTTCACTTTCTAGTTCTGTGCCTCAGTTTCCTCTTATGTAAGAGCTAATAATCCCATCATGGGATTATTTTAAGTATTAAATTAATTAATGCATATAGCTCAGTGCCTAGTTACATTTAGTAAATCATTATTTATTATTAGATCTGCCAATCAAAATCTTGTTGGTGGCTGTGGCGACAGGAGACCAGGTCCCTGCCCTGCCACTAATTGGTGTGACTCCCCACCAGGCCCCTGCCCCAGACTGGGCTCCCTCAGTTCTCCAAGGGGCCGAGCTGGAGAGCCTTTGGCTCCTTCCAAATGTCTCATTTGGAGGGTCTGGGGAAGCCCCGCTTTTCTGACTGCTCCAGAGGGACTATCCCCCCACCAGAAATGGGTCAGAAGAGTGGAAATTAAATAAGAGGAGGATGAGGACAAAGAAGGACAAGGCTGTCTGCATGGGGGAAGGAACCACGCTGTGCAGGACTGCAGCCAGGTTTCATTAGGAGCCACAATTAAGTTACACGTGAAACTACTGTAGACTGTTGTTTCCTTCCCAGCTGTTTTTGACCATCATGCACCTGGGCCTCTTGTTGGCCAAGAACCCAGGGGTGGAAACTGGCACTTCTTTAATGGAGGGGGTGGGGCTGGGTCAGGGGCTGGTTTTGTTTTTGTTTTAGAATCACCAAGCTCCCCAGGAACCAGCCCCCCGCCACCCTGTAGGGGGTGTTCTCCTTCAGGGAATGGAGAGTCAGCATCTTCAACCTGAGCTCTTGCTCACACAGCAGAGAGAGAATAAGAGGCAGGTGAGCTCCCTGGAGTAGAGCGTATGGGAACAGGGAAAAGTCACAACTACGTGTGGCCAACAAGGTTGCCCCGGACCCCTAGCCTGATATTTCGGCCTTTCTGCAGCCCAGACCTTTGCTCACACTGATTCCTCTGCCTGAGCAGCCCTCCCTCCCCCCTGCCTGTCCTCAGGATCAGGTTGATGCCCTCCGCCCCTCCAGCCCCTCCCATCTGGCAGAAGGAAAGCCACTGCCCCTGCTACCGCAGTGGCTGTGAGCTCCTGACGAACTCGATGCTTCTTGTACAGGTCCTGGCCCAAGCTGGGGACTCAATGCGGGTTTGTTGAATGAGTGAGGGATGAGGCTGGCCCCGGGGCCAACAGTGCCTTGTATTTATGTGCAATGTGTGCGGCCCGCTCCCTAGCACTTCCCCGCCTGCCCCCTCCCCACCACCCATCACCATGAAAGGACTCAGCTCTGCCCCCACCCACTGCCCTGCATAGTCCACTCTGCTGCTGGACACGCACCCTCGCTGAGCTCTGCACTGTGAGACTCACTCAGTTCACTTGGGGTGGGGGCAGCAGAAGAGACAATGGGCCCAAGTCCCGTGGCCCATGACTCTACATGTCTGGCCCTGATGGAAGTTTCCCAAGTACATCACTTCACCATCAAGGCATCTGCAGTTGCTTTTCTGAGATGGCCTATGGCGTAGATCCCGACTGTGCCATTTATAGCCCCAGGCCTGCGGGCTGCTCTGAATCCCAGCTTTGTTCAGCAGCCAGAGCCTTGGCCTGGAGGGGCCGGTACCCCGAGGCTGCATTACCAGGCTGGCTGGGCAGTGGTTGGCATCTCTTCAGGAACTGTCCTAAACGCAGTGCTGCACCCCTCCCCCGCTCAGTGTGTCTGCTCAGCTGCAGAGGACAATTGTATGTGGGGTCACGGACTTTCAGAACCAGAAGGGGTCTTAAAGAGCACTGACTCAAAGTATGGTCCCCAGACCCCGGCATCAGCAGCGTCTGGGACCAAGGTGACCAACGTCTTGGTGTGCCCAGGACTACCCAGGTGTAGCCATGAAGGTCTCTCACTCGGAGAAGTCCCTCGGCCTGGGCAAAGCAGATGGTGGTCACCCTGCCTAGGGGTGAATTCCGCAGGCCCCCCCCAAGCCTGATGACTCTGGGACCCTGGGCTGGGCTGAGTGAACTGTGTTAACAAACCCTCCAGGTAATTCTTTTTTTTTTCACTCTTCAAAAACTTTATGTTTTTAAATAAATACATATTTATTTATTTAGCCAGCCAGTGTGGCTCAGTGGTTGAGCATTGACCCATGCACCAAGAAGTCACCAGTTTGACTCCCGGTCAGGGCACATGCCTGGGTTGCGGGCTCGGTCCCTATTGGGGGTGTGCAGGAGACAGCCAATCGATGTTCTCTCTCATTGATGTTTCTATCTCCCTCTCCCTTTCTCTCTCTCTAAAAATCAATGAAAACATATTTTTTTTAAAAACTGTATTTTTATTAAAAAAACTCATTTGTTGTTTTTGTTATTTGTTTGTTTTTTGTTGTTATTAATCCTCACCTGAGGATATGAGGATATTTTTTCCATTGATTTTTAGAGCGAGTGGAAGGGAGGGAGGTGGGAGAGAGAAGGAGAGAAACATTGATGTGAGAGAGACACATCAATTGGTTGCCTCCCACGCACGCCCTGATTGGGGCCGGGAATTGAACCCGCAACCCAGGTACGTGCCCTTGACTGGGATCGAACCCGCGACCCTTCACTCTGTGGGCCAACGCTCTAACCACTGAACCACACCAGCCAGGGCTCATTTGTTTTTAAAAGTATTAAGGAGAGAAAGCAAAACAGAAAAGGAGCGGAGCGGAACACACGCCCCTTAGCAGTGTTTGTGGGAAGGTGCGAGTTTTGGTTCTCCGGAATTGAATGTTCAGTGTTTTTATAAATGAAAAATAAAACACAGTTTAAGGTCACCAAAGGTCCGTGGCTGTTCTGTTACCCACCCCCACCAAGGAAAAAAGCAGAGAGGACAAGAGAAACCGAGAGTGGGGCCACTTCTACCAGTAATTAGCTTGTGACCAGAGGGGTCATTACACGGGTGTGACTGAACTCGGATGGTTTCCTTCTCAGTGCTCCTGCACGGGCCGAACTACAGTGAGCCAGGGTGTCCCCGCGCCCCGCCATTCTGTGGCTACCTTCTCTACCACTAATGGCTGGAATTCTACCATTGGAAATGTGTTTCTTTTTGTTAAATGTCTTGTGCCTAAACTCCTTTTTTCAAAAAATAGTTTTCCTTTAGCAGGCCCTGACGCCTTGGTTGCAGGCCTAGGCAAGGCTGTGTGGCATGAGCCCAGTGGGCCCTGGTTGGGAGGGGAGGGCAGGCAGGCGGAGGAGGGAACGCAGACCGATGGCCCGCAGTGGTCCAGCGGCGCCCTGTCGGGGCCTCCTGCAGTGGGACCTTATAATAGCTCCCCTTCCAGTCGCCTGACTGACCCCATCCATCACCATTTTTAAAACTTTTTTGTAGGTCTCTTTTTTTCTCCTTTTGTATTTTTTTCCCCACTATCCTGCGTCTCAGGCTAAATCAGAGAAAAATGAGTTTTGTCCTTTTTTTTTTTTTAACAGGAAGACTGAACGTCTTAAATTACCTCTTCAGGGTCTGCAAATAGAAATGCCAAATAAGACAGCCACCTTTTCTTTTCTCCCTTCCTCTCCCTGTCCCAGGAGCCCAGGAGCTTGAAAGAAAAGGCAGAGCACTGGCTCGGGAGGAAGTCATCTGCGCTCAGCCCAGCGCCAGCCTAGGAGGAGCAGGGTGGGGCAAGGAGGGCGGGGCGGTGGGGAACAAGGAAACATAGATGGGAATGGGCCATTAATGCCTCCTTGCTTATGGCTCTAGAATAAAAGAGGCCCCCTAACGGGATGCTTTCTTAAAGAGCCGCCTCTCTCCGAGAGTGTGTGTGCAGGAACCAGAGACAGGGAGCCCGAGAACAGCAAACCACACAGGCTGTTGTTCAGACCTACTGAGAAGCAAACAGGATTCCCAGGCACACTGCATCTTGTTTACCTTTGTCACCAGTTGATGTCACAGTTCCCAGAGAGTCCATCAGTGGCCACCAGGGCAAGGGAAGAAATCTTGGTTCTGGGGCAAAGACTAGGAATTTCAGGGCTGGAGTCCTGGGTTCTGATCCCTGCTGCATGTAATAATAAAAGCTAACATTTTTGAGCACTTACTATGTGCCACAGATATGCTAAATACTTCCCACTGATTAGCCCACGTAATCTGCATAACAACCCTGCAGTGTAGGTACATATCATTAGTATCCCCATTTACAGATGAGGACACTGGGGAATAGGACTTGTCCAAAGTCTCACACATCTGATGACAGGTCCGGTTTGATCTCAGGGTGTCAGACTGCACAGCCCCTGTGCTGCTTCCTGCCAAGCCGCTAAGCCTGCCGACCTGCTTCCTCATTTAGGAAGTCAAGGTACAGGGGGAGGTGGGGTGCACTGGGTAATTGTCAAAGTCCAGCACAGACACTGTGATTTGGGGCTCATGTCCCACCCATGCATGCAGAGGTCCTATTCAAATGATGCAGAGTGCAGGATTCTGATGCAAAGCAGGTATGGATGTGTGTGTGTGTGTGTGTGTGTGTGTGTGTGTGTGTGTGTGTGTGTAAGACAAGTAATCTTGTGTCCTACAAACCTGATGAGACAGGGGAGAGAATAAGAACCTAACAAAGCCAGTGCAAAGATTTTGGGAAGACTTGTAAGTTAGACCTGTCAAAAGGACAAAACCAAGATCTTGAAAATTCTACCCAACTCACTTCCATGTGTCAATGGGCTTTGCATTTACCTGCTCTTTGCTCCAGGTGTAGCACCCATAGCCTCAGATTCCCTGGCCAGATGGGCTAGTAAGCCCTTTGAAGGACACCTTGCCAAGGAGCTCTGGTCTTGGGGAAGGCGAGGTGGTTCTCCACGGTCCCCCAGTCCAGCACGTATGTCTTCTTTGCAGGAACCATGGCTCATTACAAGGCTGAGCAGGATGACTGGCTGATCATCTACCTGAAGTATTTACTCTTTGTCTTCAACTTCTTCTTCTGGGTAAGTGAATTCTGCACACACACCCCTCTCCAGCACCAGATGAGTTAAGCTACCTTTGTTTTTTGTGAGTCACCATTCTGGGGTTGATTTCTTCCAAATCTAAGACCACCCATTGGCAACTTCTGCCTACTTTAAAGCAAATATGTACATTTGCTACTGAGGGGGAAGAAAAGAATCTGGTCTGCAGGTTGGCACGGAGTCCGTACCACATGCTGTCTGAATCAAGGATGCATAAACATAACAATGAGCTTTGTGTTCCTCTGGCTGTACATAGGGCCCAGCTCCTTCTTCTCTGCTCACTTGTTGCACCAGTGCCTTGTGGGAAATGTGACTGCCTGCAATAATTGCCTATTTTCCACCAAAGCTCTTTGCCTTTCATGGTGCACAGTGTCAGTCCTGGGCAGAGAAACAGAAGTCCTGGGGGCCGGGGGCTGCCTCAGTGTGAGATGGGAATGGTCTCTATAGCGACTCCCCTCAGGAAACCCGCCAGGTGAGGTCTTCCAGGAGTGGAGTCTGTCCAGTTGAAGCAACTGTCAAGATAATTGGGAGCAGAGAACCATTAGTTCCCCAAAATAATCAGCCACAGGAATAGGTGTATTTTGTGTTACAGTCTCACTAAATTTGGAGGGCACTAGAATGCAGGCTTTGCAGCCAAACAGACCCAGGTTCCACTGTACGAAGGGGTGGCCTTGGGCACACCACCTACATCTGCTGAGTCTCTTTCCCCAGCTACAAAACAGGGGTCATTCCTAACCTCTTGGGGTTTGTCGAAACCAAGACAATTGTCCCAAAATGGAGTCACTTATGCCAAGCCCCACATCACCAAACTGAGACTTGACTTAATTAGTTTTGGTCCTCCCAGGAGTGGAATCTTAAACTAGTCTACCAGGAATCACCTGATCAGCACTCGTTAAGTAATCTGCCCGATGGACCCCTGCCATTCCCTAAAAGAAAGTAACCTTGTAATAACCGACCTGCTTTTTTGCCTGGTATAACTTCCTTTCTGGCTTCCTTGTGCCTATCAGAGTCTTTCATTTTGTAGACTTGGAGCTCCTTTCTATCTGCTGCCTGATTTGAATTGATTTTTGCTCAGATAAACTCTTAAAATATTTAATATGCTTCAGTTTACATTTTAACAGTTCACTTAGCAGATACCCTGAAATGGTATATATTAAGTGCTTAGTTCTATCTTTGCACACAGAAGGCATTTGATAAACTCAATATTTCAGATCTATTAGATGTAGAAGGCCCAAATATACTACCAAATCAGGGTGCTGATGCGGCAGAGCTGAGATGCCTGCTCACCATGGGAAGGGATACATCTGCATTTTAGGGTATTTCATTAAGATTAATGGCATTGGTTAAGATTGGGAAGGATCACTAGTTTAGGACTGGTGGACACAGCAAGACAAGGGTTCCAAAGAGTCCTGGAGAGTAGACAGTCATTTGATGCTAATAAAAAGTCAAACAACTTGATATTTGTTTAAATGTTTTTTGCAAAGTTCCTGAAACGAACAATAAACTTATTTTATTTGCAACTTTTATCTTCCTGGGCAAGTGTTTCCTGGAATAGTGAACTTGTGTTGATGAAGACAGTGGAATAATAGAGCCATGTGATGTGATCAGTAAACTGTGTGGGTGCAGATAGTTTCCATTCTCAGAGATAAATCCAATAGGGTGTTTAGGACTCTCGCTAAATGAGAATTTTTATTTATTTATTTTTTTATCCTCACCCGAGGACATTTTTGCATTTGTCTTCAGATAGAACGGGAGGGAAAGAGGGAGAAAGAGAGAGAAAGAGAAACATCGATGTGAGAGAGACACACTGAATGGTCGCCACCCACACAACGCCAACCGGGGCCGGGGACAAACTGCAACCGAGGTACGTGCCCTTAGTGGGAACCAAACCTGGGACTCTCTGGTCTGTGGGCCGATGCTCTAACCGCTGAGGCAATGAGAATTATTTTTAAAGAATAGTATATTTAAAATACAGGTATAAATAAGAAAATCAGAATTGCCATCTCTCACTCTATCGGGTCCCCAGGGCTGCCATAATGAGGTACTGTAAGCCAGGTGGCTTTAGACAGCAGAACTGTATTCTCTCACAGCTCTGGAGGGCAGAAGTCCAAAATCAGGATATCAGCAGGGCTGTGCTCCCTCCGGGACACTGGGTAGAATCTGTCCTTGCCTCTTCCTGGCTCTGGGTGGCGGCTGGCAGTCCGAGGCAGTCCTTGGCTTGCAGCTACACCACCCTTCTAATCTCTTCCTCTGTCCTCACGTGCTGTTCCCGTGGCTCTGTCTTCACATGGCATTTTCTTCTTCATCAGGACCACCCTAATGACTGCATCGCAGTTTGATTACATCTGCCAAGTTCCTATTTCCAAATAAGGTCATATTCACAGGCAGTAGGGTTGGGGGCGGGGGAGGGACAAAATTCACCCCATAATACTTACCATCCCAGGAATGACCATTGCTGACGTTCCCTCCAGACTTCGTCCTGATTAGGACAAGAGATGGAGGTAACCTGCACTATGGGAGTGACAGTGGGAATAGAAGTATTTGGAAAGAGTCGGGGATTTAGGAGGTAACATGACAAGATTAGGTCATTAATTGGATGGGGTTAAAAGGACAGAGGTGTTTAGAACATGTAACTCTTGAGTTGATGGTGGAGCTCCTCCCTGCAATGGAGACCAGATGGCAGGCACGATGGGTTTGAGTTGTCAGGAGACATCTGAGCAGAGATGCTCACTGGGCAGTTAGCTCCAGGCTCTGAACCTGCTGTGATCCTCTCAGAAGTAGAGATGTATGGGCAGACTGCTGGCCCATGTCTCCCACATTGACACCACCTTCTGCAGTGCACAAAGTCCCTGGGAAGTTACCGGGATTCCCCAGGATGGGCCTTGTCCATGAGGAGCCCTGCATCCCTCCCGCAGGAGAAGGCTCTCTCCCTGCATCACCCCCAGAGTCCAGCTGCTGGTCCCCCACCCCACTACCATACCCCACTCCCTCTAAGATGCGTAGCTGTGCTAGCCTCTACATTGGTGGGTGCTGCCCTAGCCCCATGTGGTTCCCACCCTTCCGCCTTCTTCACAGAATCGTAATGCATCTCTTCAGGGAGGGCCCGCAGACAGTGCTGGCCGGTCACCAGCGCCCCGCCCACCGTCACCACTGCGCAGGCGCAGTAAGTGAGCCTGGACAGCAGCTCCTGATTCTCCTGGCTCCTGTAACTGGGGTGAACCCTCCAACTTCCTTTCTCCCCCAGAACAGTGTCCCTTTGCCGAATATCACCTGGCCACACTGAAAATCCAGCACTGAGAGGCTAGGAAGCCCTGGTCTTTCTTCGGTGGTTATGATGCCCAGCATTTGGGAGGCTCTGCTGGGTAAAACCTTCCGTGGGTATCTCCTGAGATCCTCGCGTCAACCCTGATGGTCTGGGTCACTATTATCCTCATTCTACAGACGGGTAGGCTCACCCAGGTCAGACTCTTGCCCAGGGCACTATAGTGGTGATAAGCAAAGCTGGAGCTGACAACCCAGGTATTCTGGTCACTAATAACGACAATTTAAAAATCCACTCCACAATGTTTACCAACCTGGTGCTAAGTGTCCAGCACTGTTCTAGGCACTGGGAATACATCAAGGATGGCAGGGGCAAGACTTAGGCAGTGTCACAATAGCCACCCATATCCTGTACCTAAGCTCTACCCCATCTTTGGACCCCTACACCCCAACATTCAACCCATGCCTGAGCCCCCACCCTTCACCATCACCTGACCTGACTCCCACTGCACCCACCTTGCATTGCGATGAACTCAGTGTTGATCGCGACCATTTCACTGAGTGGGGGGAGGCTCCCTGGGGTACAGCTCTGTGTCAGGAACCCAGAACCCCAACACTCTCATGCCTCCTTCATGACCCCAAGCAGAAAGTGGGGCCCAGGCTTCCACAGATGACTTTTCTCCCTCTCCCGTTTCCTACACGGCTCCGTACAGCTCCCATCACCCCTGTACTGTTGTTCTCTAATTTATTGTTTTAATTAGCCGCTTGGCTGTGTTAATAATCAAAACTTTTCCAACCTCCCAGGAGCTGTGCCAGGCTGTGAGACAGCTGGGGAAGCAGCGGCTGCGTCCTGCCCGGGGTGTTGGCAAGGGCTATGCTGCTTCCCTGGGAGTCCAGTGGGGGCTCGGCCTCCAGGAAACCTATGGGAGCCCCTTAGGGGGGACGTGGGTCAAAACAGGAGGCAGAGGTGCTGGGGGACTCATGCCTGGTCAGGGGAGTGAGGAGACTGGAGAGCATCCACACATCCCCCAGGGCCCCGGCCACTGGCAGGGAACAGCCTCTGCTCACTTCCTACCGAGGTTACAAAGCCCTTCTCTTGGTCCATCCTTCTCCCATGGAACACGGCCTTGCCTGCCTCCCCAGGCATGTCATCAGAGAAGGAATGGGTGAGGCCCCCAGGGTGGTGTTTCTGCTGTTCCCCTTCTTCAGGTGCTGAAGTCACAGACCCCATGGTGTTCAGGGAGTCTCCACCTCTGTGCTGTCAGGAGCTGCTGGGGGACAGGCTCACCCTTGAGGGGGACACACATTTGGTTTGCACAGGGCCATTACAGATGAGACCAGTCAAGAATGAAGCCTGTGGGGACAGCTCAGAGCTGCCCCTGCTGTACTCAGGGACCCCAAGCCTGGCTGTGGCCTAGACACCGGGTGGCTTGCTTCATGCAAAAGAGCTCTGTGTGGGTCAGCAGCCCAGCTGGTAAACCGGGGTCCCCCCTCTTCCTCTGGCTAGTAATGGCACCTTGGAACAGTCACACCTCTCTGGGCCTTAGTTTCTTCATCCAGAATATGAAAGGGTTGAGACATGATTCTTTTCCTCTGTTCTTTCCTTCCCTCCCTCCCTCCTCCTTCTGCAGGGAGTTATCCCAGGGAGTCATCCGGCATCCACCATGTGGAGCACTCTGCCGGGAATGCTAAGAATGAGATTTAACCAAGAGGCTAAAAGG